CCCAGTTCGTAGCAATTAAAAGCTTGCATTTGGTGTAAATAATACAATGAACATCCATATAATGTTCTAAAAACAACAGTATACTGCCAAAGGGTATGTGTAACGATTGTGTTCCCATGTGTTGGTTCTCAGGCGAAGTAAGACGCCATGCTTGATGCCGGGTCAACCGCTTCTTGGCACACTTGGCGACGGATCTTGAATTCCATCGACAGTCTCCGTATTTGTACGTATTGTGCACAAGTACAGTACACATATAGAATAGAGGTATACAAAGTTATCCCGTTACAAATTATTGTTGAACTATTGGTTGTAGAAACCAGTCGCAAACTGAGAAATGAGAACTTAAAAGACGTTTTTTTGAGGAGTGTAGAGTAGAGGGGCACACAGAATTACAGGATACATACAAGTACGAGTGCACTAACTATTATTAATAATTTACGTAACGAAACGTAGGCTTCTATCGAGACCAGTGAACACAAAAAACAGGTACACAGTACTCAATAATTTAGTTCAAGAGCATTAACCTCTAGTTGTTCTGGTTATCATGTTGTCTTCGATTGACACCTTGTTTCTGAGGTTAATTGTACAATACACGCCATGAATCGTTTTCCAATGGTTGATAGTTATCAAGGGCTCCTGTATATTTACAAATCTTATCGTAGTAACGGAAGATTCCTTAGACAAAACTTAAGTCTAACGCCCGAATACTGAAACGCTACTCAATTTGTACTTAGTTAACATCGTGCCATCTCTGTTATTTTACTAATAATTTGTAGTGGCAGAACTATAGTTACTTAAACGCGACTTAACACTGAATGGTGTTTGAGTATTTGGACATAAGAGATGTTTTCATGTTTTAAAATACATTATTAATTGTTCGTAGTTGTTCGATCCGTTTCAGGTCACGGCCGGGACTCATAATTATGAGCAACATGTGCGACAACGGATGACGATATAGCGCAGTCAAAATAAAAAAAATGATGATGCATCAGTGTTAAACTATAGTTTGTAACTACCTACTAACTTTCTAGATAGGTATTGAACATTATATATAAGTCGAAAGCGTATTTAATGTATGGAGGAAATTTTCGTCAGTTCCTGAGATTTGGCAAGATGTTGCATTGAGGTAATTAGTGATGCTAGCACTAAGTCATATCTCGAAATAATGTTTGCGGTTATTTGGATAAGCGACAAAACAATATTTTAGTTTTTGAAAACTTTTAAGGACGGACATCCATTCCATTTCAAATTCTCGTTTTTATGGAATAGGAGGCAAACGAGCAGACCGATCACCTGATGGTAAGCGATTAGCGCTGCCCATGTATACCCGCAATACCAGAGGAGCCTCTCTTTTCGGTTCGGAAATACCGCCGACGACAGATCATTCCACAGTTTTGCTATGCGAGGCAGAAAGCTACGAGAGAAGCACACAGTTGTGGCCTGCCAACTATCTATGATGGGGATAGATATGCTGCCTATTCTCAAAGCAGATTAAGCCCAATGCTAAATCAGCATAAATCGATTCATAATGAAGACTGCCTAAGACAGACGAAAGCAAAGATTTTCTTTTCATGTAAAGGTGAGTAATCAAGTTTATGAGAAATTATTTATACACACAATCATGGGTGAGTCCAATTGAAAAGCTTTATAAAGAAAGTTGAATTTTCTTCTAAACTGTTAGCCAACAATGTTAACCTACCTGTGGCTAAAGAAAGCCCCTATTACATATAACACAATAGGCACAAATCCAAGTACCGTGTCTTGACTGCTTTCTCTTTTCTATAAATATCATTTTCCTTGTAGGTACTCAATGACACAGTTCTAAAGTCAAAGCATTTATTTCAATTAAACAATCATTTGGTACTTTTGAACCACAAATACCTACAAAATAAATAATTTCTGTCAGTCTGTCCGTCAATGAAGCTAGATGCTCATTCCAAAATGGAGATTCGAATGGAGAAGAACGAGCAAGAAAACTAAATTCGTTACTCTTTTAATTCTTCTGTTATTATTATCTTACTTATTTTTAATGTTACAATTTCACTGATATAACAATGTTGAATCAGACATTGCTGTCTGCACGTGGGACTGTTTCAAAACACATTGTTTGTTATTGAAATCTTGGCAGGAAACATTGTGAGTTCACTCATCTTACGAGTATAAATAGTACGTTGTCAACTGGCTCATTCGCTTCTGTTTACTAATTCAATGCATCGCGGAAATTATTTGTGTACTATTCATTCAATTTCAAATAACTCGTAAAAAATTAAAAAGCGACTATTTTCTGCATTTTGCCGGCCATTTTTCCAGGGAACTGTTCATCAATACTTCGTTGTGGCACCCAACTTGCTTCTATTGTGGTCACAAATCGACTGATTCGTAGTATACGATATCGATGTTTTAGTTCAGCATTAGTCATGTATCTTTAAAGATTTTCAACGTTTTCATCTGTTTACTTCCACCGCTTGCTTGATGACGTTTAAGCAAATAATTGACGACATCTATTTTAGATATTATTACGTTCCATCGTGCCATTTGGCGCGTGGCACTGGCCCTGGGCGTGATGAGTTCATTTGTTTCTAACACAGCTTGTCACTTTTGTTAGCGATGCCATTGAAAACCCCTCTAAAATTGTACCCAACATCAACAGAAACATTTTTGGGGCACATTTATGAGTAAGGTATTTATATCATTGATCAAAGTCCGACACCTGGTAGATTGCCGTTTCCCGGCGGCTAATAGAAATCTAATAACCTATGATCGACTGATGAACTTTTTGTGATATCCTCGAGGTTCTATGAACGTTATAATTTGTTCAATTGAACACGACTACGAATTGTCGAAATGTTTAACACGATTCGATTACGTACCGTACTTAAATTAATCTTTGCACAAAAGGTGGTAGCTGACAATAAATTGTAGGACGTGATCAAAATACTAATAACTTGGGTCTATTTTTACATTTATAGTTTTTTTTTATAGTAGTAATGTTTGTCTTCCACGAGTCTATACACAGTCCACATCACTTCAAATTATCATTCGTAACTATTTTTAGTGTCATTTGGATTTTGCCAATCAATTTACTTAGGCGACTAGTTATTTTACATTTTCTCCAAGGTGGGGCTGTCCCGTGCGTACGGCACGTTACGTTCCGCGGTCGCCTCAAACAGCCATCAGACCACCACAGATGGCGCTCAGTAGGGCTGCCGCCCGATTTCGGTTCAAAGAGCAGGAGTAGGGTTGGTTTTCGGTCAGTAAAATTCTGACACTCCCTCTCGCCTAACCCAAGGCGAGAGAAGTCATTGGATGATTTCCTCCCTCAAAAAAAAGCCGTGGTCTGTCACGGACTTTTGATGATGAAGGGATTATCAGCTCCACAACTTTATCGGCAATAAAGGTAACTATTCTAAACTGTATATCGTTAATTTTTAGTACAGACCTTTGCAATATCTTTTTTATAGTTTTGACCTTCGCACTGTTTTTCTAACATACTTCTCATCCCGTTTGTTAACAAACAATGGGTTTTCCTTGTATCAATTATACAATTATCTCCATGCATAATGTGATCTCAATAATATTTATCATGTACTTAGACTTGTAGACTGTAAACATGATCAACCTGAAGTCTTAGTTTCCAGTGCTAAGAAGATGAAATCGAAGAAGTTATCATTATTATTGTCGGTTGTGACAGTTCTGAGTTCACAGCTAAAGTGCTAACTGCTATGGGCTCAGTGTGCTATGAGCCTCCTCTACACAAGAAGGTTTACCAAATTTGCCATAATTTCTAGTCCTGCCAGGAGGGTTGGAGATCGTAGCTTAAAAGGTTAAGATTAATTAGGGACATTTGGGGAGCGCTGCTACCTCATGTCTGTTGTATCTATAGTACCGTAGTTAGATTATTCCATTCTATCGTCACCACTCATCGCATCTTTGTGCGGCACATTTGCGGTAACTAGGTGTAAATTAAGGTGATATCTTCTCAGCTGTTCAATGACTTTTCGTACGACAGAGAGGCTTAAATGTACTGTCGTGTTCGTTTTCGTCATGTGCTGTTTACTCGGTTTAATGCCTGCCTATGTGCTTAGGTACCTACTTAATCCAGGTAATTTTGACATGTTTGTTTGTTTTATACTTGTAAATTAGTTTTCGTACGTTTTATCCCTTCCAATAAAGTAACAATGAGACAAAAATGTGAATTTAATTTTCATTTTAATAGTTAAGTATAAAATAAAAAATTATTAGCAAGCTGAAGTGGCAGTAGACCGGTGATATTGGTCAAGTGAAACAAGTGAATTTCGAATGTTCGAAGAACCGATGACTGTTGGGCGTTGGGGAAGACGAGTTCGTGAGTGGAGGCCGCGTCTAAACAAACGTGTGTAGGGCGCCCTCCGCGTAGCTAGGTGGAGTAACGATATTCGCAAAGATGCTGGCTATGGTTAGATGGCAAGGATTGGTGGGAGAGGTTGTCCAGGAGATTGATGATGATGATCATGTATGGACTTAGCGTTTTTACCTATAACTAAGTAAACTTTTCTTTCACCTCATAATGCAGTTACGCATTCAGTTATCAGTAAGTATTTTCTACGACGTGAACTGTAATGGAATTAATTAAATTTAGCAAGGCTACGAAGGAAATAAAGACGTCACGCTCTGTTGCAGGCAGGTCGGCAATTATGTGGCATGTAAGTATCTACTTACTTACCTAATTTTATAATGAGTACGTACATTCATTGAATTGAATGGCAGTTTACAAAGTACACTATGTCAGAAAGTATTTACACCCAGCTACTAAAAGGTGAATTTTCAACTGATAAGAAAATTATTCATGCACTGGGTGCCCCAGCTACCTCGACACGTGATCTACCTGATAAAGGATCACCTCATAGTAAGTCGAATTAAAAATTTAACAAAACATATTTTGCAAAACTGGTTGTAATAAAATAACTTATTCAAATACGAAGGTCATTTAAAATATCGGAATAATTATAAAACTATCTTACCTGATGGGAATATTAGTGTCACTAGCACACAGAACACTAGGAATAATTCTCTCAACATTTTCCCAACTGTGCAATTTCGTACACACTTGACAACTCAAAAACAATAACCGTTTGCATTGTGCATTTAATTTGAATTAAAAACAACTGTAAAATACAATCACCAGTCACTATATCACATTTGTTAACACTCACACCACTAAAAACTGTTGATTTGTAATAAATAACAGTTAAAGTTAAAAAAGCGATCGAAGTAAAGTTTAAGCGTTCGATGCGTGAAATCGGAGTGAGGCGACCATTTTGGCGCGAGAACACGACACGTCCGTGCGAGCGTGCGCGGCGAGGCGGACTTGATAGTTGATCAACCAACTCGGCCGGTATCCGCGGCTGTGGCGCGAAGCTTGTTTGGGCGGTTCGCCATTACCTACGAGAACGACTGACGTTGTTGCGACGCGGCAGTCGTGTTCGATATGATCCCCATTGCTGCCATAACAGAATATCCAGTTATAAGTGCCTAGTGCCTAGGTATTTAGGAACCCATATAACTGCACAGAGTTCATAGCAAGCGATTTCCTCATAGATACATAGATTAGGTAGAAGTAAGCCTGGGATCATTTATTTTATAGATGTACTAACGATTCCCTTTCAATATGTTGGTCAGTTTTCTCCGAATACCTACCTAGGTATTTTCTAATTTTAACCGACTTCAAAAAAGGAGGACGTTTCTCAGTTCGATCGTTTAAAAATGTCGTTGGTTTTTATTAAACAATTGAAAATTTAAAACGCATCTGTACTACCCGGTTACAGCCTAGCGTGGAGGTGATAACAACATTGTTTATTTTGTTTCTGCACGACTTCAACATCGAGAGCAAATCGACCTTCATGTTATTTATCTACTAAAAAAATATCCTAAAACTAAACTCTGACTTCCTAATTACTTCCCTACATAATGATATCTTTATATCATTAATAAAAATACAATCATGTCGTGACTATTAATAGAATCTTTAATTGGGTAGTTTTGGTACGCCCTCGAATATCTTAACTAATCTACTCACAATATTAATGAAATTGTACCTATTGAAAGTAGGTAGGAACACAACACATAGGTAAGTAGTTTGAACTTAGGCAGTATAAGTATAATTACCTACTTTCCTGGTGCGAACCGCTAAGGAATGGAATTCCTTACCGTCAAATATGACTTGGGTGTCTTCAAGTCCCGAGTGAACAGGTTGCTCATAGGTAGGCGTGCTCCATCGTCGGCCACATCATCGCTTACCATCAAGCAAGATGGTGGTCAAACGTCGACCTTACTGTACATCACTTAAATGTACATAAGAGTGATGTAAATTAATTACGCAAGGTATTAGAACATTTGTTCTGAATAAATGGCCCTCTACTTTAGAGACACATCTTTCCCATTATAGGTACCTACCTATTTTGTTAAATGTCAGTATTACATATCAATTCCCATAAGGCTTTTTCTCCCAAACTCCCAAGAGACTACGACCATAAGTCCATGACCAATAGCTTTTCTAGTATTGAATTTGAGGATGGAACATTTACAGACAACAACTCTGAACAACCTCAATGTGCGATCCATAAATTGTTGAATAGAATCAGCAACACATCGCGTAGTAATCGTTTGTCTGTAGTTCTGTGGTGCAGTGTCGTATTCGTCATCAAAAAGTACTAATCAACTTTTAGCTGGGAAATTATTTTAATCTGTGTTAATCTACCATTCTACTTAGTGTATAAAAACTGGCAACTCTTTAAATCATAGTATTGCCAGCGTATATAGTAACAATTCCACTTCATTCTCCACATTCAACATTCAAGTACCTATGAGCTCTAATTTCCAAATCGTTATTATTTTACTTCTCAAATGCACCAATACAATATTTATAAACAATATAACAATTACTGTTTACTTGGTACACAGGAGATACGCGGTTTATGTTCAAGTTGAGGTTTACATAGATAACGACGATTTAATATAGTTAAAGTTTTATTTATTGAAATAATCACCTAGTCATATAACCACACACATAACACCACGCCTTTAATCCCCAAAGGGGTATACAGAGGTGCACATTACGGCACTTAATGCCACAGTCAGTCATAAAAGCAGTAGGTAGGTAAGTAAATAAAAAGTAAAACGTACAACTTGGCAACCAAGAGTTTGGAATAATTGAGGTCGCTACTCGCTAGTATCGTACCTATGGCAACCTTAGGACTCAATCGATTTTATAATGATTACGTATCGTGTAGTTTAAGAAGGTACTTACGTAATGAAAAATACTTTCATTTTTATAATACCTGTAACCAAATATTAATTAAAATGAATATGACCATTATGCTATACTTGGCAACTCTTTCATAAGCCAATGACTTTTTGACAAATGTACGTGACTTCAGGCACAACCTAAAATCGATCCACATTTTTTCGAAAAACACTATTTGATAACAAATAAAGAAAATCAAGCGAAAATAGACCTTATGTTTAATGGAAAAGGATTTTTATGAAAACCTACCAATAAAATGACGGTACGGTAGAATTTTACGACACATAAAACTTGAACTTTAAATGTCACTGTCAAACTTAACCATTATTATTTGTGTCAAGTTATGTGCGCGGGCGCCGGGAAAATTATAAAACTCGGGAATAAGTTTTTTTTACAACCTTTCCAATGTGATTCTTATATGAAATTTTCAACTATAATTTAAACAAGAGATAAAATAGAATATTAATCATGCATGTCTCGAATACCACTATAAATGTGTTCGTGGGATGTTGCGCCAGCGCTTTTCTTATGGAAATTCTTATGGCAAATTGGCCGAACAGTGCGAATTTAGTAACTTATTTACAATTTTTCTTTATATCCCTGCAAGGATTTATAGTCACTACAAAATGGGGAACGGTGAGTCATTTTACACTGATATAATTGCGTCAGTTACGCTATGCATTCGTAGGTACCTATTTAATTGTGTTATTTTCCTTCTAATTTAACTTAGTCTTGCTTGACTTTATTTATAATCAAACTAATGTCAATTAGAAATAATTGTTCCAGTTTTGAAATGAAATAATTTAAAACTTATTTTTTTATTGACATCTTCAAAAGATAATTGAATATATTAAGTTCCTACTTTTTAAAACCACTGACCAACTTGCTGCTAAGCAATTTTGCTTAGCATATTTATATATAACATATTTATGTTATTAATTCGACCAATATGAACCTTATCATCTTTTCAGGTAGGTCCAAAGATACCAATTAGCCAGTATGTGTTACTAGTCACTCTTTTCTTCGTGACTACTGTGGCTAATAACTATGTATATGCCCTGCATGTGCCTTCCACACTGCATATGATTATAAGGTAGGTTTTTTAATTAAAAAAGAATGTAAGGCTTCTTAAGCAAAAAATATCAAATACTGCGATGAAAGCCATCACAGCAGGTTATCCAGCCAAAAGGTGGATTGATGTTCTAATAACAATGTCAGGAAGCTGCTGGAAACAGGTTGCTTCGAACTGGCCAATCTGCATGCTATTGTGGTTGGCTTATATCCAAAAGTGGATGTCTCGTGACTTGCCTCTATGACAATAATTATTATTGAATATCATTATGAGACATTTACAAACTAACTATTTGTTTTCCAGGTCAGCATCATCACCCGCTAGCATGCTAGTCTACTGCTGTGTTAAAAAACAACTACCAAAGCTAAACAATGCCATTGGTTCTATACTAATCAGTGCTGGAGTGGCTCTGGCCATGTATGGTGGAGCTCCTACAGATGAGGAGAACAAAGGCACCTTTCTTTATTGGTGTATAGGAGTCACCATACTCTTGGTGACATTGATAACTGGTGCTTTTACTGGCTTGCAACAAGAAAGACTGTATTCCAGATATGGAAAACATCCTAATGAGGTAAGATTGTCGTATTTCTTTTTTTTTTGTAGATATGCTAAGGCTGTGTGCTACTTATTAAGCACACAAAGACTTCAGTAAGAGTCAGACACTTTTTCGCCTCACCCAAGGCAGAAGATATCATAGAATGGTATTCCCTCCTTAAATAAAAAGCTACACAAATACATATTAATCTGTCAAACACCAAGCGGTCACCGGTGACTGCGACCTATTGTTCTTTAATTGTGTCTATAAAACCGGTACTCGACGAGTTAATATCATAAATGTTCTATATTGAATTATTGAAAGCGAATTTCATATTTCTTAGTCACTCAATATGAGTTGTGATTTCAAAGAAAAATAAACTAATAAGTTTGATAAGTAATATTTGTGTATAACTTTTTATTGTGTTATGTAGGCAGCTTATCAATTTATCACATAATGGGTACTTTCAGTTATCTTTATTAACAGTATATTTTACTAATTGCAAATAAAGATATAAAATTATTATTAAAATGTTTTGCATAAATAAAACAAGTGGTTGAGATGATGAGTATATTTTTAGATACTTAAACTAATCTACAAATGAAAATAACAAAACTACTGAGTAGGTAATTGCTATGAATTCTTTTTGTTCATTCTGATCATTACAACTGCAAACTCAATTTAAAAAAGATTTCATGTCAATTCTCATGTCCACACAATATTGAAAACGTACAAAAATACAATTTGTTAAATTCAAAAGAAAAAGTACTAAACTTTACTTTTAATTCAATTCAGTGAATGTCAGCCATTGTTAATTTGTAAAAGAATAATACAATAGGTACTCTAATGCAATGCAAGCTACCATTACAAATACATATTTTTAAGAAAAATATATTCATAGTGACAGAAATAGCAAGAGTGAGTTTTACGAAAAATATTGGTTACAACCAATTTGATTGAATATTTCCATCACATTTTCTAGCCATCATTACATGACATTTTACTGGATCAAATTACGTCCGAGTCTAAAGTGCTGTATTTATATCTTTTATCAAAAAATCAATTAACAAATCCAATCTAAGCTTTCTAAAATGTACAATTTTTTTTACAGATGCTGTTTTATACACATGCAATTCCATTACCCGTATTTTTCGGACTCTCACCTCAATTGCTGAGTACTGCAGCAATCCTGCCATTCGCCGCATGGGTACTGATAGCTCTCAATATACTTTCTCAGTTCTATTGTACACATTCAGTGCACGAACTAGCTACCAAAGAAACTTCAGTTACAGTAACATTTATACTAACTCTAAGAAAGTTCGCTTCTTTATTGATCTCTACAATTGTGTTCAAAAATAATTTGAACATTTATCATGTTATAGGAACTATGTTAGTTGCTATTGGGACTTGTGTATATTTCAACTTCTTCTCCGCTAGACGGCAAAGACCGGTAAGTATGAAGACCAAGTAATATTTATTATGTGATTTGTGAACTGAATTCTTAACATTCCTGCCGAATTTATTATTATTGTAGTGATGAAAATGAGTCATTGTTGTGGCTTTTAGATCTTTTACGTTTTAGGAGTTTATAGTGTTTGTAGATGTTTAAATTATAATTACATGTAATGATCAGAAGTATTTGTTATATACATATCTATATAAATAAACGTTTTGGTATACTTAATTTTGTATAATTTAGGAAAGGAGAATAAAAAATTTTGATATAGTTTCCACATTTATTTAGTTGACTTATTTTAATATTTGTAACTATGTGTATCTAGTATATGTGTTGATTCTTACAAAAGAAAAATTATACAACTTTGTAAGGCATTTGGGTGTTTATTCGAAAAACTTTAGCATGATTTAAGGTTATTATTAGCATCATCACTGTGAAGCAAACCTTTCTATGTTTGAAAAGTGGCAGTTGTCAGCCATGTTAATTTGCTACAAGATGTAAAGTGGCAGTTGCAATAATGTAAATGTAATATTTCCCTCAGGGCCTGATTGTGGTTTCCCAGAGGATATGGACTGGTAACCAAGGTATAAAAACCTCAGACATAGCTTGGATCAAACCACTGATCTCAATAATTTGAGAGAACGTAATTTTTAAGAACAAACACCCATAGGAGTAAGTCTATACAACCTTACAGCGAATTACAACTACAATAGACAGAAGCTGCTTGTACCATAAAGGATTAAAAATACAGTTGTAGTAGCCTACTGGATTCATACACACAATCGCTCTATTCACATCACATCACTTATATTACAGAATTTTTGTCCAAGTTTTTCTTTAGAAGCCATTGTATCTTCAATGTCTGAAAATAGAAAAAAAATAAATGAGTAAGTATTTACTAAATATAAAAAAGTTGCAGTTATTCCCACTGTGACATGGTAAAAATATCTGAATCCGTGGGGTCTACATACCTACCTGCTCTTGCTGTCAGAGCGGCTGCGACGGTCGCGTGATCGTGAGCGTCGTACGGAGGGCGAGCGGCGACGGACCGATGGGGAACGGCGCGGCGACCCCGATCTGCCTCGCGAATACGAACGCCTTCGTGGACTGCGACTGCGGGATCTATCAACATAAACATAATATTATGATGCGTCCAGTTCTTGAGCATAACGTAAACACAGTGCAACATCTACACCTCAGGGCAATTTCAACAGAACAGCGCTCGACTTTAATGTAATTTTAAGGTCCTTCTGCATGAATAATATATAGTTATTCACCGCTTCAATGACTCGACATCTCTTCTGTGTACTCATGTATAATTTCAGTAGATCATATTTTGAAAGTAGGGGGCCCATATAATTACTGTCTACATTACATAAATCCCTAGTTACCTACACCTCAAACGCCAACACGACTTCTCTAATTCTAAGTTTAGGCAAGGTAAGGTTCTAAGTATAGGATTTAAAAAGTACCGAGACATGGTGAGCCTGCGAAGGTTGACCGTTGTGGGGCTGCTGTGAGGCCGAAGGGATATTACTGAGGCGGAGGCGAGTTTCAATGTTATCTTCCGTCGAACGGTGGCATTAATTGGAAGTTTCAAGAAAAATTGCGGTAACACGGGGAAGTTGATCGCCGTTAGGTTGTATTTCTAGCTCGGTGCCACGGTGACGACGAGTGTGTGCAGTCGGTGAAGCATTAGGAGTTGCAATGACATTCAGGATATTTGTAGGATCCTACACTGTGTGGCTCTCTATAATGCATTATATTCAAGTCCAGGTTCGGATTACGGTTGGGGACTAGGTGATGGCGGTCAGGAGGTAAGTTATAGGGACGCAGATGTTGGAGACGTCGGCTGCGCGCAGAAGTTTGGAGAGCCGATCGCAGAAGTTGAGCGGGATGTTGTTGCGAGCGGCGTTCGCGGATGTCAGATTGGTTAACGAGCCGTAGTTGTGGTGAAGACATGTGGTGAGGTCGTTGGTGTGTTGGTGGTTGGTTGATAAAATGGACCTGTAAACGTTCCAACACCCACCACTTTTAATATCTCCAGATCAACGTACTTACTTAACTACTTGTCTTTGATTAATATAACAGCATTTTGTTTCTTCAAAAGCAAGCAAATCATGTAATTAAGTCCATTTGCTAACTGCAACTTAGACTAACGAGGTCAATAATGAGGTACTTAGTTGTTAATGGTGATAACTAATGGATTTTCAATTTGAATCTTGTCCCATCCCATTAAGATTACATGTCTGGACAGTTACTAAGGAAGGTATAGCATTATCCTTTTTTCATTTTGGTTTTAAGGATGCAATCATTTTCACTCTCATGAAAATGTTATTAGATGTTCCCCTTCTTTTGGTTTAGGTAAATAATGGTAACTATTCTAACAACTGATTAAATTACTATGTGACATACCTGGAGTATCGGCGATCTCTTCTTGTGCGGCCATTAGACATTTCAACACGGATGCGAGTGCCACAGCATCGTCTATAATAAAAACAAAAAAAAGGAAATTAGGACCTACGAAACTCGATAAAGAAAACAAGTGTGTCATTACTCCTTAGTCAATTACAAAATACAGCTCGACTGGCCCAGTGGCCAAAAAGCCACTAATTCAATTTAACCGTCGATAATTTGACGGAAAAACAGCAGTATAGTTATCAATGGCTATGTAAAACAAATTATTTCAACATGCAGTAATTAATTGAAAACTTCTAGACATTAAATCCAATACAAAATTGTGGTAAGGTACTTTTTAATTAGGTAGGTACCTGCATACTTCGTTAAAACAATCGTAAAATTAACAATAATTTTGTTGTGTTAAGCATTTTCCAAAGATCTAGGTCCTATATCTGTTATTTATTAAAAATTCTCAGTTAGTTTCAAGTAGAAATACTCAAAAAGAACATAGGAAGTGATTTACGGACTAAAATATAAATGTTCCCCATTCCAAGACAAGTGGTATCTCATTTAAAGGATATCACATCTCAGTCTCAGCTTGGAGGTATCGTGATCTAGCACACTTATGACTCAAGCGTTTCACATTGAAGGTGGAACGGATCTAAGGAGCGTGCAGAGTAACCGTTGGTACAGAGGTTTGAACTCGCGATCTATTGATCGGCAGTCGCCGCCATGACCGTAATGCTATCGTTTATTTACCGAGGTCACGCGAAATAGGCATTCTGTTGTAGAATGAATAAAAAAAAGTTAAATTATACCTAATACTTTTGGTACCACAATATCCTAACGAAAAAGAAATTAAAACATTAAAGTTGGATGGAAGATTCACTTCTCAGAAAAAATACCACGCAGATGGTATTTCTTTTGAAAGCGACCAGTCTACTTTGCGTGGTATTTTTATGAATCCTTTAGATACTTCAATCTTCTAAACTTTTATCAAGAAAAATACTATTCGATTTACACAAAATACATACGAACTATGTCTACAAGTGTTCAGAAGCATCATGAAGTGGGTCAAGTGAAACTAAAATGGCGGATGAACTTCGGCTCGGCCAGGATTACAAAAGCGGCATAAATGAACAAATAATGGAACAAAATTAAGAATATTAATTAATTGAGTACTACTTACGTGCCATCCAACCCTCGTACGGAATCTTCAGCATCACGTGGGTCTTCAAATTCTACAAACGCAAATCCTGGTGGATTCCTCGCCACCCACACATTCCTAATGTTTCCGTATTTCGAGAATACTTTTTCTATTTCATATTTAGACGCATTTGTTCCAAGATTGCCGACATAAACTTTGCAAGAAAGGTCCCATTCTCGGTAGCGAGACATCTGGAAAATAGAAAAGCAACGTGTAATATTTTATTCGACGCCATTTTGTTATCATCACTGCACTTATATCATTGTTAGTTGCGTAATTCCACTTAAAACTACCACTTACTTTGATTACAACACTGGTTTATTAACGATGATAAATATAAAGAACCACTTTATTTGAGGACTGGTTTTAATTCGACCAACTCCTAACCTTCCTCGACAAACGTCCGGAACGGAATGAATTTAAAATGAAAGCACTTCGGCCCTCGCCCTCACTGAGATAACCGAACGAAACGAATGAACGAAACGAACACGAAGGAAAGAGAGAGACAGACAGAGATGTGAGAGAGAGAAGTGACTTGAACGAAGTTCACGTCGGTCTGTTTCAGGTTTCTGTTCATTGCATTCATTTCATGGGTCATTGATTGAACGATTAAATGAATGAATAATAAGAATACAGATTATATTACATTATTTGTATGGAAAAATGGAAGGCCAATGGCCAATCAGGATGTAGATGAGATCAAAGACAATGTGTTGGAGAATAGAAGCTGTGGGAATATCATTCCATTCACTTTAATTCCATTTGTCTATAGTATTGCACCCCGTTCCCCTCCACTCCACTTTTTGTTATTTATTTGTCAAACAGCTGATAGTTTCAGAGAATAGCGATGAATTTCTCGAATTAATTTGAATAAAAATCGATATTATTCACGAAAATGGACGTAGTAGGGCTTTTGAACAATATAAACGATAATTCGAACATGTTTGCTGTGAAAACATGGACGTCCGAGTGGTCGAACAATTTTCAAGACAACCAAGTAAGTATTGATTATTCGGTTTACAGTTTGTCTTATTTCGTTAAATCGTGGGAAGTATGTGTTAAAATGTGTTAATATTGTGTTGGTGTGTTTTTGATATGAATCCGGAAGTGTATTGTTAGGGGACAAGGGTACAGAATTGTAATAATAGAAATCGGTATCCTTGAGACCAATGTTATCGCATTCGATGTAAGAATAGATTGAGAAATATTCCGGTTATCAATTAGTTAAAGATTTCAATCTTGAAAACTATTTCTAATTAGTAAAGAACCTATTTTGAGCATCTATATTTGGCTGGATTAAAATTTGAGGCACCTTAATTTTTTGGTAGGTAATATTAAGATTCTGTTATAGTAGTTACCTTTGTTCTTATTACTTAGTAAAATATATAAAATACATAAGCAATAGTATTTAATTTCAAACATCCAGAGTCTAATTAGAATGGCAAAATTACTAAATAGTCAATCAGTCATTACTATTAGCAAATAGTCAATCATTAAGTCATTATTATTAGCAAATAGATTCCATTAGTGAAGAAAAAATAATGAGAAAAATCTTTGCCTCTTAATTGTCTTTCTATACTCAGATCTTGATCATGCTTTTTCTACTTAAACTGTCAAACACCAAGCGGTCACCGGTGACCGCGACCTATTGTTCTTTAATTGTGTCTATAAAACCGGTACTCGACGAGTTAATCAGAAAAATATATTATCAAGTAAAACAACCTACTTTGCTCTCATACATTTTGAATTAAAACTATTAAATTCTATGGATTCTTTTTTGAAAATAAGAGGAATAAACTGAATCTACAGTATACTATGTATCAATGTATCTAAATCAAATAGCTAAGTCTATTTAGTACAAGTTCCAAGATAACTAAAAAAAAAAACAATTTTTATTTTCTTATCTTTCACTAAATATGGTTTTAAATAGTAAAAATCATGCTGATAAGTATACAAATGAATAGACAAAATAGATAAGAAAAATCGATTTCATACCTAATTCATTAGTACATTGAGTTTACTTTACTAATAATGGAATAAAAAATGATTATTCACTAGAATTACAAGTCCAAAGTTCAAAGTAATAACACAAAGTAGGTATTGTAATGAGACTGAAGTACTTATGTACTACACATAGGTAGGTAAGTGATTTGATAGCATTTGTTTATACACTGGATGGGTTGATGTAGGACTACCATCTCTTTCTCGGCATTGTATACTACAAACCAGTAATATGTAATGAAACTCCAAAGAGTTGTGCCTTAGTCAGAAAAACAAAGGCCTTCTTAAAAGGCCGGCAATGCACTTGTGACACATTTGGTGTTTCTGATTGTTAACCATCAAGTCATCATTGGTACCATTTGTCCCTTCTTCCATTTAAAAAGCTATTATCAATTTTAAGGGTTCAGCACTTTAGCATATAGGCATCTACAGTCTTTGTGAATTTCTATACTCTTGTATCTAAATTCAGTGAAAAGTTGGCATAAACCTACGTACATTACATACATGATGACATGACTGCTTCATTGCTCATCGCCATGGGAGATAGTGGCCAGTGCCAGTGTACAACCAATAATAAAACAACCACAAGAGAATTGTTCCAGACAGATTCTTATCTTATAAACTCCAGGCAGACATGGGAATCCATGTTATTTTTAATAAAAATAAGATGTATGTGGAAATAGTGGATTGTAAAAAAACACTGTTTTCCGGACATTAAAATATTCATAACATTTTATGATAGATTTTTTTGTAATATCATTGTGATATGACTTCTATATTAGATGTAATTTCATTTTTATGCAGTTCTGTAGCATTGTGTAATTGAATGTAAATTGACATGTCAAGTTGTTTAGCTTATCTTGAGTCAGTTGTAGCTACTGCTATAAATATAAGTATTTCTAATATGTGATCATTTTATTGTAGCATTAAACTGTCAAACACCAAGCGGTCACCGGTGACCGCGACCTATTGTTCTTTAATTGTGTCTATAAAACCGGTACTCGACGAGTTAAGCTGTTTGTTATTGATTTTTATTACATTGACAACTTGTGTAAAGGAATCACACTAATATTATGAATGTCAAATTTATTTTGCATATTTGTCTGTCAATATACACTGAAACTACTGGATGGATTTTGATGAAATTTGGTATACAGGCAGGGTATTTTATTCCGATTAAACTCTCCCATGGGATATTACAGCAATACACTGGCAAAGTGGCGGGTAAAAGCTAGTAATAAATAATACCACATCTTATTACCATGTTATTTTTTATTCGGTGTCGCGGAGAACCTAACGGGTTACTGGGGCTCCGGCTCGAAGCGCAGGAGTAGGAATCAGATTCCCTCCCTCCCGGCTCACCCAGGCAGAAGACATTCAATGATTTTCCCCCTTAAAAAAAATGTTTGTGCTGTGGCAATTTACAAATATGGTATTTTTAAATGTCAGCGTAAGACTTCCATTAAATTCGTACATGTGTTATTTTTTATTTTCTATTATTTGTAATGTCCAGCGAATCAGTCAATGTACGACTACTTTGACTGTCTGAGTAGAATCAAAATGCCCTTTTGCCCCTTTTGCCCTTTGCAAATGTAAAAGTATTTTTTTAGATTTTAGTTCTTGAAAACACTTTTTCAAGATTTAGTTTCGTATGTAGTTTGGACAGATCCTAATATTTCTCGCTACTCTAATAATTCTCATGGTACGATCAGTTTGGCATAATCCCCTTAGATTTGAAGACTTTTTCCAATGTTTAGAGACTACTTTGTATGAACAAATTTAGGGGATGATTTTTAACAATTTTCAATGGAGAGTGCGAAATAGTTTTTATATAATTCTACCCAGGTTTTGGAATTATGCAATGAATCATATAATCAATTGTGTATTGCGAATGGCTCCTCTGTTACTTTGGAATATAAGCTAACATAACTAGAAAATAGGTACTGTTATCAACAAGGAATTGTTGGCTCTTATGTCAAGTCTCATATGCATTCATTTTAGCATATGCATCCCCACCATATAGATGGTTGGCAGGCCACAACTGTGCCATGCGCTTTTTACGAAGCTTTCTGCCTCGCACAGCAAAACTGTGGAATGATCTGTCGTCGGCGGTATTTCCGACCCGATACGACCTTCGAACCTTCAAGAAAAGAGCGTATTCCTTTTTAAAACGGTGGCAACGCACCTGTTACTCCTCTGGTCTTGCGGGTGTCCATGGGCGGCGCTGATCGCTTACCATCAGGTGATCCGTCTGCTCGATTGCCCCTATTCCATAAAAAAAAACTAAGTATTCATTTATCATATCACATCAAACCTCTTTAGTATCCTAACAATATCGATGCATTTCGCGAGGTCACTACAAAGCCTATGACCCCTCACAGGCCAATGCACTCGCTCAATACAGCCGGCGCATTTAACATGAATGCGAATCATTCTGCTCTTGCATGAACGATGATCGTTCTGAGCAGAAATAATTTTATTGTTATGGAGATTGATAGAATAATTTGCACATAGGAAATGATTTTTTTTTATACATATTTGATAGGCCGGTGTTTGACCACTATCTCGCCTGGTGGTAAGCGATGATGCGGTCTACGATTGAGGACGTAATGTATAGCAAAAATTGATATCTAAATTGTATTAGGTTAGGTAATTAGTTCATTAGTTCACATTCTATAATTATGTTTGGGGAATTGAAGGCATAATGTCGTAGTCATTACCACAGAAATATTAAAAACTTTTATTATATCTATGGTAATTACCGTGGTAATAAAAAAAAACCATAAGAATAATGTACATGCCTATTTTCCAATTCGGTAGCCGGGATCGGATGTTAATTTATTTTAATATGTAAATAAAATACATATACAAAAACAAGTAATTGTATGTACATAAGGCGGACATTAATACCATTACTAATTACTAAGTATATAATTAAATTAAGTAATGGTATTGATTATGGATGACGAAGTACTATGATCGATATGCCGATTAATCGGTTCTATTTGTGTAGTAGATATCTAGTCTGTCTTAGTCATGGTACATGTCTAGAATTATTTGATTAAATAATTAGTACTATTGGCAAATGCTATCATTTAAACTTCGTTAACATCATCATAGGTGGTTTAGATAGGGCTTGAACTCACGACTTCTGAATTTTGATTACGTGAACTTCTGCAATAGGTATAGTAAATATTGTAAATGCTGTAACATGTATTAGATCAATTTAAATCTAGCTATGTTTTATAGCGAATCGTAAAATATCGAATGGTCTTTTAACTTTAGGGCCTATAGTTCTATATATATCTGTTTTAATACCACATGTCAAAATAACACAAAGCTGCATACAAAAATAACACAAAGCTGCATATAAAGAAGAAAAAAAAAAAACAAGATATTACAGAAATTGGAATTGTGACCGGTGTATGGCAATAGGCTCACCCCCTATTACGCGGGACTCACAACATAGATAGTGAAAAGTGGGTGTTACATTGTATAGTGGCATTAAATGCCGTAATGTGCACCTCTCTCACCCCTTCGGGGATAAAGGGGGTCATGTTATGTTATGTTCTATTATAAGAAACTAGAAAACAATTACCTTATATCACGACCAAAAAATCAACCCAGCTTTGAAAATGGTTAGAAGAAAGAACAGTTTCATATTTTTCATAGGTTTATATCATGTCTTAAGATAATCGCAAAGGAAATCTAAAACAAGTGTGGGAGAGCCATGCTTCGGCACGAATGGGCCGGCTCGACCGGAGTGATACCACGGCCGCAAAGAAAACCGACGTGAAACAACGCTTGCGTTGTGTTTCGTCGTGTGAGTGAGGTTACCGGAGGCCCGATTACCCCTTAGTCCCTGTCTCCCGAATCCCCGAATCCTCCACAATCCTCAAATTCCCAATTCCCAAAAGGCCGGTAACGCACTTGTAATGCCTTGGTGTTTTGAGTGTACATGGGCGGCGCCGATTGCTTACCATCAGGTGCTGCGTC